ATGTAAAGAAATAAACACGCACACACACACACACACACAAAATTTGCATTCCCTGACTTAGGGTATAAAAGTGGTTGCTGGAGGTTGCAGGTACTCTCCATGGCAACGCAGGTCTAAAGACCAGTCACTCACCCCCTGGCAACCACCTCTCACTAGGAAAAATGGCTATAGGTATTTCTTTAGTAGCTGGTGTAGTTTGAATGGAAGTGGCAGATTTATCCACAAACACTGGCCAGCTAGTCCCCGAGCTGTAGTGAAACGGTGAAAAGTGTGGTGCAAACTAGAAACAGATCCTGTTTGCCTTCAGTGCAAAAGCAGAGAGCCACAACTTCTATTTGAAGGCGAACATTCCCCAATTCCAGCTTGTGCTGCAAAACAAATATTTTCAACCATTTCAATCTGGTAAAGGTTTTCCTCTACTGAGAGCCAGCAACCTCCGGGATCCACTGACAAATAGTACCTGGTGGTTGTATCACATCGCTTATGGTGGGGAAGTCAGTTTAAAGCAATTTAAGCTACAGGTTTTATTACATTTCCATTACATGTTGTTGGGAATTGCATTACCAAGTTTAGAAAGCATTTATACGGACTGTGTGTGTGTCTCATCACTCACAATGTTATTGTGAGTGATGAGACCTCTTCCTTTAAACTACTACCATCTCCACAGCACAATTACCCCCCCCCCTTCACAAAAAATAGGTCTAAACTGTCTTTTCTGTCTCAAACCATCAAACCTCTGAAAGCAGAAGAAAGTGTGTGTATATTGTTTGCATTATTTTGATGTGATTGGTTTTTATGTGTTGTTTACAAATGTTAATCTAGGTAATTAAATCTAAACAAAACTAAAATTAGATGTGAAAAAAACTGACTAAAATAAAATAAAATAAAATTATAAAGGCAATATCTTTAGTTTTAGTGTTTGTTAGTTTGGCAAAAAAACCCAAACAAAATCAAAACTGAAATTTTATTGAAACTTTGCCACTCACAAGACTGTGAGTCACAAAAACTTAATAAAAGTTACAGAACTACAATATTTCTGGTGTATTCAAAGGTCAAGTGACTTCTGCTACAAGCAGAAATAAATAAATGCAAATTAAAAATAAAATAAACAATAAAAAATAATGATTTTTGGAACAAGAAAAAAAACCTACAGTATTTTAATCTTTATTTATGCTAAACAACTTTAGCTCTACCAACACTTAAACAGCCATACGTTTTTCATCCCTGTGTAGTACAGTGAAAAAGAAAGTGAAAAAACAAAAAGAAAAACTTCCACCCTTCCAGTAGACCGGATTGGAACCTTTGGCGGGCCGGTTCTGGCCCCCGTGCCTCATGTTTGACACCACCGCTTTAAGAGATTCTGACTGGCAATTTCACAGATCCACGTTTATTTTAACCACATTTATACATTCAAACCCTAAAGTCACAGACGAAAAGCTTCTTTTTATTCATTTAGTGAACGCTGTTCGTCTCCATCCTTTACAAATGAACGGCGGCAGCTCAGCGGGCGTTACATAACACCTTCTACCGGCATTTCTAGCTTACAGTAAAAGCTAGCCTAGCTTCCCTAATGCCGACGTCTAACTGCAGTCCTTTTCTCGTTACATACGAGTTAAACTTTAATATGGATAACACCCATTTTGGGTCTATATACGGATTAGTGTTTGCTCCGTCGCCTGACATCCGACGTACACGTGCTGCTTTGCGGCGTTATCCCTCCAGTTAAACTGATGCCAGCTAACAGACACCTCCATCAGCACCTACGCCGAGTACCATCACCAGTCCCTGGCAGTTAAGATGCTTCTCCGCGAAAGACCACACACCGCACACGGGGATTTATGTGATATACAAGCCGTATACCGTGAAGACTCCCCTCAAAAGACACAGACCCTTAAGTTAATGTCAATTACCTTCGCTACTGAGATCAAATAGTAGCAGGTGTACGCCGCGCTGAAGCCCAGCACCAGAGACAGACCCACTCCCGAACCGAACAGCCCAACTTTCACTTGGTTCTCCAGGTAATGCGACAGGTCCCGAGTCAAAATGTTGAAATTTAAGTCCAGCGAGATCATTGCAAGGTCCCTGGTGTTTCAGGTACTGCGAGGACAGCGGCCAGCTCTGGTGATACGCGGCTGTGTGTGCCTGCGAGCCCACAGTGAAGGAGACAGTCAAGGGGACCCGATAAGGACAGAGATATATAGGTATCAGCGACAGGTGGCGCTCTTTGACCGGCTATGCAGAACAGGGAACTCAGAATCATCCCTGCGCCCCCTGCAGTCCACAGACCCGCAGTGCAGCACAGGGATTGGAAAGCTGACGGTTCAGCCAAAAACTAAAGCGAAACTAAAGCTGGCGAATTAAATCAATAAAAAGGTGTTTGGAAAAACAGCAGCAACATCACTGTGCACATTGACCTCCAGAAAATACACTTACTGCTGTGGAAGTACAGGGTGAAATTAATTTACTTACCAAGCAAAACAGGCAAATGCCCCAGCGGGTACACACCTCCATGGGGACCAGTGGAGGTGTGTACCTTGTGGAAATTTGTATAGTTTAATTTAATTGGAGGGGCCTTATGGCAACTGTTTTCCAATCTATTCCCACAGACAGGCAACCTGGGCTAAAAAAAACAAACTTCAATACATTATTATTATTATTATTTTCAGTTTTTCACAAGTCCAAAAACAGGGAATCACTGGGCTTAAAGAGCATTTTTGATCCAAGGGCCACACAAAGGGTTACAATCATTCAGTATATTGAATATGTATATTCAGCTGGATTGGAAACCAGTGTAATCTAATCTGATTGTTTTTGGATTACCTTTAAATAAAAAATGAAATGATGTAAATTTTTTAGAAAGATGTTTTTACTGTGAATAAATGCATTTTGTACATTCAGCTTGTGCAACTGACCTGATCAAACAGCCTTTCAAAAACATTGCTTACACAAAGTACTGGTATATTGTGTGAGATGCTGTGTTTTCTGTGCATGTTTATGCTCATTATTGCAGTACTTTTTACTTGCAGTACCCTATGGAAGGCTTTGCTCTCGGGACCCAAGAGAGCAATCATTTAAAGAATTGTTCTTTCACTTGGAGTGTAAATAAAAAGGAACAAAACCTCCAGTACAAACAAATGTTAGATCACCATGAAAATAGTTAGCGCGCTAATAACACGAGAGACGTTTTTGGGATAAAGTAGAACATATTCATATGAGAATTAGTCCTTTCAATTTTTAAACAGACAATTAAAAAAATAATCTAATCTCACATTTTAAAATGTAATCTGGGGTGATTAAAGTTTAATAGTTTGACAATCTGGTACATAATTTTGTATACAAGGAAAACATAAGCTGATGAGTACCTGTAAGGCTGAAACTGCTTACAATGAATATGGAAGTTACCTTAAATATGTTCTAGTGTAGGTAAATGTAGTTTAACATTTTTTATTGGTGAGCTTAGTTTTCATTCAGTAATTCTTCACTATCCTATCAATATATTTGGTATTTGACTGCACAGAAAGAAAAACTCTAAAAATCATAATAAATAAATGGACAATCAATATGTGTCTTGATAACTACAGTATACATTATTACTCAGTTGAAACAATTAAAAAAGGTGCCCTCTGACTTACCCATTCATGACTTATGCATTTTCTGTGTGTTGGATCCCATTTTGTTCTAAATTCGTGTCAGTTCATATGGCTGCAAAAAGCCCATCAAAAATCAAAAAAACTGAAAGAACTGTGGTCTTGTATGTGGAAGTCAGGAGAGGCGCTAAAGTATGTGAGGGTGGTGCAGGACATGTATGGAGATAGTGAGTGTCCTGTGCAGTAGTAATAACAGATGTGGTCAAGTAGGAGTCTCAGTACATTATGTTTGCAAATGACACTGTGATCTGTAGTGAGAGTAGGGAGCAGGTGGAAGAGAACCGGGAGAGGTATAGGTACCGGAGAGAAGATGACTGAAAGTCAGTAGAAGCAAGACTGAATACATGTGTGTGAACAGGAGGGAGTCAGGTGGAAATCTGAACGTGCATGAAGGTAAATGACAACCATCCAAAGCAATAGACAGCACAAGAGAGTCGAAGAAGAGAGTGCAGACAGGGTGGAGTGGGTGGAGACGAGTGTCAGGGGTGATTTGTGACAGAAGGGTAGTAGCAAGAGTGAAAGAAGTTTTACAATATGGTAGTGAGACCTATGATGTTTGGTTTGGAGACTGGGAGGCTAACAAAAAGGCAGGAGGCAGAGCTGGAGGTTAGAGCGTTCAAGATGTTAATGGATGGACAGGATTGGTAATTTGAGTACTTCAGAGGGACATCTCAGGATGAACAATGTGGAGACAAAGTTAGAGAAACAAAGAGGCTGAGATAGTGTGGACATGTGCAGGGGAGAAACAGCGAAGGAGGACATCCAGAGAGTTTGTGTAACAGATGAGGATTAAAGAGATGTGAAATGAAGGCAGAAATCCAATAAAGGAAGAAGCTGAAAGATACTACTACTACTACTAATAATAATCATAATAACGATGATCATGATCGTCATTATGATTATAATTATTGTTGTTGTTCTTTACTAGTGAAATCACTTAAATTAGAATGTGGGAGAGTTTAAATTGTCATTCTGATTGGAAAATTAGTGAAGCAATTAAATGGCACTATATAAATGTTCATCACCAAAAGATTTAAAACCCTGATATTATAATATGTATCAAAATGATTGCCATGTATTAAAATTATTTCAGTAAAAATAATAATGTACAAAATAAAACCAACACGAAAACAAAATAAATAAAAACGAGGAATAATCACAATAAAGATAAAATAGAAAATTAAGAAAAAATTAATAGTTAAAGAAAAACACTTTAAGAACATAAAAAACGTAAAAACAAACAAACAAACAAAAACCGTGTAATAATCGGTAATACATGTATTATGAGTTGGCGATGGTCCATATGCTCGAGCGTATTACAGGTGCGCATGCGCAATGGCTAGACTCGCTTGTTTTCCAAGCCTCGCGTCTTCGTGCTTTATCGTCCAGCTCCGGAGCTAGTTGTTGCTTGTCTGAGCGGTGATTGACTATAATGGCGACGCGATTATTCTGAGAGTAGTCTATGGCACCGTCTCTAGCTGATAAAGGATACATGTCGGAGGGTTTTTTCCGCATCGCAGACTATAATAATAAGGACAAGCAACATCGAAAAGGAACACATTCACTCCAGCCACAGGGAGCCAGGAGAGCTTTATCCTGCTAGCTGCGATAGCTAGCAACTCGCTCACTAGCCTGCTAAGTTGAAGAGGTGGGATTCAAGTGTGTGGACTGGAGGAGAGGGACTGGCAGTTTGCTGAGTACTGAGATCTATCTGCTCTAGCTGTTGGCTACTTTGGGGTATTAACTTCCACACTGCCAGAGGCAACACTTGGACGCCACTGGCTCGAGGTTGATGCTAGCTTGTTGTAATAGTTTTTGGGAGAGGATCCAGAATCCTTCTTGGGCAGCTAACTACAGCTACACACAGCTAACAGGCTAGCTTTGTGGATTGTTCCAGTCGCCTTCCTGTTAGGACTTGCTCTCGCTTGCGTTTGGAAACTCTCTACCAGTGCACACATAGTTGGCTAGCAAAGAGTGCTAGCTCGGTAACTTTTAAGGATTGTTGTACCTTTGCGACATCTTTTCTTAAATGACCACCGGCAGGAATAACCGAGCCATGATGGAAGGAGTTGGAGCAAGAGTGGTTCGCGGACCTGACTGGAAGTGGGGGAAGCAGGATGGAGGAGAGGGACATGTCGGCACCGTTAGGAGTTTTGAAAGTCCAGAGGAGGTGGTGGTTGTCTGGGATAACGGGACGGCTGCCAACTACCGTTGTTCTGGAGCTTATGACGTGAGGATATTAGACAGTGCTCCAACAGGTAACTTCACTTCCGCTGCTTGCTTCTGCTCGCACTTTCAGGCTGAGTTTTAGTCTCATGGAAGTGGCTTACAGTGTAACAGAGGGGTGCTCCGTTTGCAAGCTACGGGACTTTTTAAAATGTATTCTTTTTTTTGGCTTAACTTGGGAGCTTTTTACAGTGTTTCTCAGAAGCAACTTACTTACAAATATTTTAAGAATATATAATAAGATCACCATTTGAGACGAACTGCCCCATTTATATTTATATCCTGTCTGTACACAGGCAGTGAAAGCTTTGTATAGAAGGTATGAAAATAAGTCACTGTCGTAAACATATCATGACTCTGAACTTCACACTGCTTGGATAAACTTTTGTACTAATTATGTAAATGATTAGAAGCATGATGTGGTTTTAAGGACCAATAGCAATACATGTCAATCCAATTACTTCGTTCAGTACACGTCCGATTGACAGACATCCCATATCCGCCCCCTGGTTAGTCACTGGATAAGGAGCAGTTTCCTGCAGTAATTTACACTGTTGATCAACCTGTAAGGACATGCTGAAGGGGAAAAGATTTTAAGGAGCTGTAAAGGAAAAACAAATCCAACTGCCAGTATATTAATAAATCTGTTATCTTGCTCTTTTAATAGTATGAAGAATATGTCTCTTTTTGAACTGATAGCATGCACATTGTTGGTAGCAAGGTGCTGCTAAGTTGTTGCAGTAATATTACCGATGTGTACTGTGCACATTATTATGTTTAAATTACGACTAATTCTGCTCCCTCAGGCATCAAGCATGATGGAACCATGTGTGACACCTGCCGTCAACAGCCCATCATTGGTATTCGCTGGAAATGTGCAGAGTGCACCAATTACGACCTCTGCACAACCTGTTACCATGGAGACAAGCATCACCTGAGACACCGGTTCTACAGGATCACCACCCCAGGCAGCGAGAGGTTAGTTAATATTTATATAAAATTCTAGATTGCCATGTGAACAGAGGCGAAAAATCACATGAGGCAAAAGTGTGTCACATTTTATTCCCTGCTCTCTCATCTGTATGCAGCGATCGGCCCTTTACTACAGCTGTTTTCTAGTGTAATCTAACAATATTTGCTCTTATTGTTCCTCATCGTAGACCCAACAATTATAAAGTAGACATAGAGTAGACAGGTAATCCCTGTATTTCATTGTGATTGGCTGGTCTCCCCCTTTACACACTCTGTGTAGCTGTGTGTGTATGATATTTGTGGGTCTTTTGTGCACCCTGCATTTTAGGCAGACTGTGTCTATCTCTATGCTCCCAGCCCTCAGTTGCCTGGCAACAACTCAGCCTCACCTTAAGATCAGTCAGACCTTTTCAAAAATCATATTAGTGCAGTGTTTCCCATTTAGAGAACATATAATCTTTTTTTGTCTCCTGGAGGATGCATGCAGCTTCTTTTTCTTGTGTACTAGTAGTTGTCAGTTCAAGTGATTAGTCGACTAGTTTTTACAAATTTATGGTATTGTTTTCACGATTTAAAATATACCTTTAGGCAAAACTATAGAGTTTTTGTCCATTTGATTTCAAAATGTATTTAAGGTTTAATTAAGCACTAGCAGTGTTGGGACTAACGCGTTATTAAGTAACGCGTTACAGTAACTACGTTATTATTGTGGTAACGAGCACGGTAACTAGTTATTATGCCAAAATCAGGAACGCGTTACTCGTTACTGGGATTTAGATAGGGTCGTTACTCGTTACTTCGTGTGGTGGCTATCGCGGAGCTTCCACAGATTCAGTAACATTAGCAAGTGGTGGAGGCCAGCAGGTGGATGAAGGAAAAGGGACGCAGAAGGAAAAGAGACCCGAGGCGGCCGCCGGTCCAAGTGTGAACTGAACTTCAGGTAAGAAGTTATGACCTGCAGTCTCTCTGGGTCAGATATGAACCAAGTTTAGGTGGAGTTTATTTTCGTTATGCTGACTTTTTCCGTACTGCGTGCTAGCTAGCATGACGGAGTTTCTATACAGCTGGGTGGTGCTGATGTTATGATGTTGAACTTTATTTTGTTCATAAGTTATTAGAGTTGCCAACCGTCCCGTCTGGTATTCAGAGAAAATATTACGCGTTTCTTATTGAGGTGAAAAGGAACAGTTTGTCCCGTAATTCAGCTACAATGAAAAAGGCACAAAGCTGGAGTTATTCTGTGTCTTTGCTGCACAGCTGCCTCTTCTTCTCTCATCTCTCCCTCCCTCTCCGTTTCTACTTCAATCATGAAACTGATCAATGATCAGCTGATCGGCTCTCTTGTTTGTTTATCGCTCACTTTGCGCCGAAAGAGGAAACCAGCGGATGTCGCGCTAAACAACAGCAGCACGTTTAAGCTTGATCAGCTGTTGTTAGAATTTATTTAATATTAATTTCTAGTATCAGCTGATGTTTGCTGGAGCCACAGCTGAAAGCTGCTGGTCATGATATGGTTTGGTTATCTGGTGAGAGGGAAACATGAAGATGAAACCAGGAGATGTCCTTACTGAATCATCAGAGCTGAACAGGTGATGGAGAAACAGGTTTACCTTTTAGGTGACATGAATGAGTTGAAGGGAAGTTATGAACTGTTTCTGAGAGACAAATAACACCAGGATCCTTTTTATGTAGCTGACAGCTGGTAACTGTGCAGGGGCGGGTCTAGCAAAGTGTTGCCAGGGGGGCCAGGTAGGGCATTAACAGGGAGGGGGGCACAAAGAAATACTTTCTTATTCTCATTTAAAATGTCTAGCTTTTAAAAAATAATTATCTGAATCTTACAACAAACGATTGATAGATTGATGCATATATACCATCAGAACAGTGTACATCACTGTCACAACAGTGTTTATTTTCATTCAAAGGCTTTATGATTTTTCCTATAATGGTGGGCCGGTCTCTAGTCAAAATGCCCGGGACGATTTTTGTCCCAGTCCAGCCCTGTATGCAGCTCATCTGCAGTCTGGTGTTACCTACATCTTCCTATTCAGAAGGCAGAATTTCCGAGTTCTGAGTACAATCGAAAGCACCACGACTGCAGTTTTTGTGTTGGATGTAAAAGGCGCACATGACGCTGTGACGTAGGCTAGAATCATGGCAGCAGTCAATGACGGTCCAGGCGTGGGATTTCTCTCGTGGAAATATGCACATTATCTTTTCCTTTCTATTGGTAGGTGGCACAGTGCACTGTGGCAAGTAAGCAAGCTAGAAGACTGGCAAAGTTATGGAAGAAACACATTAACAAGAGAATTCTGAGTAAAACCAAAGTTACTTTCCCTAGTAACTAGTTACTTTGAAAGTAACGAGTAACTTGAAGTAACTGAGTTACTTTTGAGAGAAGTAACTAGTAATGTAACTAAGTTACTATTTTAAAGTAACTTACCCAACACTGAGCACTAGTAATAGAATCAAGTGATTTCCCTTTAGTGCAAGGTCAGATCCCCTTGGGTCTCTATGAAAAAAAAACTGCTTGAGATGGTGTCAGCGCATTATAGAGTAATGAAAAATATTTTATAAGTTGGCAAACAAAACAACACACCTGCCAACAACAGTTTGTGATGGTGTTAAGTGGGAAATGTTAGGCGTTTTACTTTTTTGAAGTTTAGACAAAGTATTGCTGCAGAGTTTGTCTTTATTTATTATAATAAGAAATATACACTTATTATAACTGCTTCAGGATGTGAAAAAATAACATTAGGCATGTGAAATCCAGTGTTTTCACATTATTTAGTTTTCAGAGAGTGACTCTACCACACTTTATATTAGGGCTGTTAGATATAACGATATATATCGGATGACGATATAAAAACATTTATCGTTTCATTTTACGCTATCGTTTGTTTCGTGGTGTCGCAAAATAAACTGTTTACGGCAATTTTTTCTCATCGTTTTGATGGTCACTGTAGTGGCTATGTTCATTTCTTAAAGTTCTTTCTTTCTCTTATATTTAATATAACCACACTACAGACGGACAAGCGCCTGTTTTTATGCGTTGTCGTTAGCAACAACGATGTTAAAACCACCGCATGTCCGCTTTTTTATTTTCCATATAAACCTTTCACAATAAAGCTCAAGCTCCTGTTGAGACTTTTCAAAATAAACTGAATCACTTGAAAGAGTATGCAGAGTGTTTACGGATGAAAAGCAAAAAAGAGCCGTCAGGCTTTTTCCTGCAGCACACTGTGTAATAAATACTCACAAAGAAAACTGCGGTCGTTACAACTTATGTCTAAAAATATATAGTTTCATACATCGTTAAAACACTCGACTGGCATGACGCCCAGCTGGAAACACTTCACGCAAGTCGAGCTGCCCGAGATTCACAGAATTTACAGAAAATGTTACATTTTTGTGATTTATATCGTTATCTGGATGATAGATGTCTTATATCGGGATATGAGATTTTGGTCATGTCACACAGCCCTACTTTATATTGTTATCAGTATTTACCTGAAGTTGATGTTGACAGTCAGATTGAATTGTGTCACTGTGTGCCCCATTGTTTTTGTTTTTGGGCTTTATTGTCTGTTGAAAGCTAATTTTATTGTCTGAAAATACCTTTTAAAAAATTCTAGAGAGATGGGTAAGATCATGTAACTCACAATTTTGGTTTTACTGTAAAGGAAGTGGTAGGATTACAGTAAAGACTCTTCAAGAAGTACTGACACTGTCAGCAACCTTAGCTAATGTTACAAAAACATCTTTTATTTGTCATGAATCCTTCACAAGGAACTGCGTGCATTAAACAGCTGACAGCAGGAGCATATGACATCTGATGCGATCAGTCTTTTCTGTCTTATTCACCAAAATCAAATTAATGTGCCAAATCGCCTGTTTACAGATGACATGGTTTATGTGGGAAAACGAATTTTGTTTTTATATCCTTTATCTGAATTCCTGCTTTGATAAATTTTTCAGAAGTTGAAAGTAGAGACTTTGTTACTAAATAATTCACACACAGGTAAGATCAGGTCAGATTGAAGAAAAGAATTTTACTCTGCCTTGCCCTCTATCAGAGGATCTTTAAGTTTTATAGACTAAGTGCCAACATATGTTTGAGAGCAAAAAAGTGTACCTGAACAGTCTGAGTAATATCCTGCAGGATTTTCCATTGATTTATAGTTTTGTATTTTTTTTTTTTAGCGTTAGAGAGGTTTTCTCTGCTATGACAACAAGAACAGAAGAGTTGAAATGGAAGAGAAATTCTCTTCTGGTTTCACCCCGAGCTGCCGGATCACAGTTGCTCATGGGCTGAGCTTAAAGTTATCAGGGGGCTCCTCTCTGTGCTGTAGATGAAGAGTAAGGATGCTTATTTTGTTGGAAGAGTATTTACTTCCTAAATTGCACAACCAGCACTTGACTGTGATTCCACTTATACCGTCAGTACTCTGATGCATCCATTTCAGGCCTATATTAGCTAAACACCGTAGTTTAGTAAATGAACACATGGTCCAACAGCTGGCAGACTTTTCAACTGCATTTCCCCTGAGACAGACATTGCATAATGTACAATGGGTGCTTGAGGACTCCCTGACTCACACTGCTCCTACTGCATGGAGGAGTGTTTTGTTACACCACATTAGATTCTTTCAGTAACTGCTGAGGAGGGAGTGGTTAGAGGCCACAAGCTGTTTGCATTGGTTAGACCTACACTGTCCAGCTGCTGTGCCTACCAAGACTCATATGGTCTTTGATTGTTAGAGCTCTGTCTGAGGTTTTATTTGCCAATATCTATTAATTTGTTTTCCTTATAGCTATGCTGGTGTTTTGAGCATGCCTCAGAGCATTGTAATGGTGTGTTTGAGTACTTCTTACTTTTCATTTGCTGTGCCAAAAATTTAGTGTCTGATTTTGAGTGCATAAAAACTTTTTGTGTTCTAGAGAGCTAATCACTATTCACTGTGACATTGTGTGTTTGTGATTTTAAAAAATACCTGAGAAGATGGTAGTAGGAAGGGCAGCTGTCACAGTGCTGCTGTGGTTAGCCCTGCTGCCTCACAGCTAAAAGGTTCTGGGTTGTTTGGCGCATCACTGTGTGGAGGTTGTATGCTCTCCCTGTGCCTGTGTGGGTTTCCTCTGGGGACTACAGCTTCCTCCCACACTGCAAAAAGCATGCATGTTAGTTTGACTGGTAATTCTAAATTGTGTTAAATACATGAAGTTCAGTAAAGCTCTGTTTGAATGCATTTGTGTTTTTGGCTGTAGTGTAAAGTTCCTTGAGTGGTCAGTAAGACTAGAAAATAAAATCAATTCCAGTCCCTTTCTAACTGCTTTAGCTGGGAATTTGCGATGTAACATATGGCGTACCCTACGGCATACCCTACACACCTCCCTAGAAGTTAACTACACATCAGATCGATGTGGCCTACAGCTATTGATTCTATCGATTCGTCCTCTACATTTCCAGCTACTTTTTTGCCAAAGTTTAAAAATTTATCAGTGAGAGAATAACAATTATTGTCTCAAAATAAAGAATAATAATCATAGCATCAATATAAGGACTCATAAACGTCAGCAGATTCCTGGAGGGAGATTGCCAAAACTATTGGAATGAATGTGAAGGATTTTACAAAGAAGTGGGGAAATAAGAGCTGGGACCCAGAAGGGAAAACAGTCCCAGCATTTTATTTATTTCTATTGGATCGCTGGCACTGCGTGTAAAACACCAGGACATGATCACACGGTAAATACTGGCGACAACGTCAAACACTTCCATAGGTTACATTACAGGCTCTACAAAATTGCCAGCAAAAGTCTGTATCCAGCCTAACTGTGACAGAAGTCTTTTGTTTATTATCTTTTACTTCAATCAAACACGAGGTGCTGAGTGACAAAAGAGGATGGTAACAGCGTCCCATGTACGGAAAGTGAAGTTGGACAGAAGGCACACAGTTAAGGACGAGCTGTGGCTGGATGAATTGTGGCATATAATTTAGTAATTATTGTGCAACAGGCACTTCTCTGCAGTATTTACACATAATTAAAATGCATGTGAGTTGATCTACCTAAACACAGTTGACAGAAACCCTTACAGATGAGTATAGTGCATGTGATTAATGCTTGTCCAAATAAACAATAATGGTCTACATTTATAAAACGTATTTTGTCTTGACAGAGTACTTTTGGAGTCACGTCGCAAGTCAAAGAAAATCACAGCCAGAGGAATCTTTGCTGGTGGTCGGGTTGTGAGAGGAGTCGACTGGCAGTGGGAAGACCAGGATGGAGGGAATGGGAGGAGAGGAAAGGTAAGGGAAGCTGCCAGAAAAATTGGAGTTTCTAACTGTGCCTTTTTTCCCCTTCCCTCCCCAAGCCAAAAGCAAGCAATGTACCAATTTTCTAGAATGGCAAAGCGATGTGCTTTCAGTGCCTACTAACTATTCCTAGCTTTACAGAGAAGGACAGATGAGCAATTTTATAAATAAAATTATAAATAAAATTATAAATAAAATTGCTCATCTGAGAGCTCATCTGGGTCCCAGTCACTTAGAATAATCTTTAACAACCATAGTATTGAAACAGTCAATAAAGGTAAACAGTGGTCAACTCAAACATCAATGGTAATAAAAAGACAGGAAATTTGTCTCCACTAAATCCTGTTTCACAAGTGAGCTTTGTTTGTTCAGATAAATATGCATGATTATTAATGGGTAGCGTTGAGAAATGCAGGCAAAACTGTCTCTGCCTTATTTTAAAGTTGTACAACTAAAAGGATTATAAATCCTTGGAGGTAATACAGGCCTAGCAAACCTGCCAGAGAAATCTCAAAGATCTTTTTCACAAAAAATCCTAGGCAGGAAAAAACAATCTTACATCCCAGGATATGGTTTGGTTAAAAAACAAAGCACAGTAGCCTGAAACAAAACAGGAAGTTCACTGCTTGACTCAACATGTTAGGAGCGTAACACAAAGAGATCAGTCCATTACTGCTCCTTCTATACTTTTAAGTTTCTGTGGACAGCAAAAGGAAATTTAAAAAGCAAAATTAGAAAACAAGGTGACAATTGATTGTAAAGATTGAGCTGCATTTTCCATAAGAACTGACTTGAACCAAGATGAAACCAAGGCTCACTGCACCAGCATAAGGTGTGACAGCAGGTCTGAGGATTTTATCCTGGTGTGTAACAGCAGTCAGGGTACCGTTAGCTTACATATGGAGATCTGTGGAATCTGCCCGTCGCTGACCCACTGCCAAACCGGTCATACTGGATGATGTTGCAGGCCAGTGTAACATTTGCCTGGGTGTCTCCAGACTCTTTAATGTCGGTCACATGTGCTCGGTGTAAACCTGATCTCATCTGTAGTGAGAACTGGGTGCCTGTGGTGGACCTGTCAGTTCTGATGTTCTCTGGTGAATGCCAGTTGAGTTGCACAGCATGGGCCTGTGAGCACTAAGGTGTCCCAAGGATGCTGGGACACCTTCATATGTCCTGACATTATGTGTTTGCGTCACTTGGTCAGAAACGTGTATGTGAATAACCTGCTGGAGATCATTTTGTAGCACTCTGGCAGTGCTTCTTCTGTTCCTCCTCACACAACCAAGCCAATACAGATTCTGTTGCTGGGTTCATGCCCTTCCAGTTCCCAGTCCAGTTCCCCCCATGTAATGGGGGTATTGTTACAGCACTTTTGGATGAGGTATCCTGGAAGAGCTGGACTACCTGTGCTGCAGGTGTTCTCTGATGCTAACTGATGTAACAAGGAAACAAAAAGCAAAGCTAAAGAAAAATAAGTGAGCAGGGTTAAGGAAAGAGTATTATATGTCTGCCATGTTTAAAACTCCATTCTCTACAATGTGATGACTGGGTGTTCCCTTAATGTTTTTTTGAGCAGTGCACATCTACATGTATCCCTTCAGCATTTTTCCAAATGTTTTTTATCAGAAGTCATGTTGGTGTTATCTCACATCGCAGGTTTTCTGCATGTTGTGCGGGCCTGTTGTGGTAACCACAGGGGGAGGAAGAGGCGTGGATGTGCACAATACGGCCATAATCAAGAGCAGACATAATTGTACAGTTGTCTTCACGAGTAGAAAATGAGAAACAGGATTTGTTTCTATACAAAAATCCAACTTTACCCTTCAATTTAGTTGTCAGGTCCTCCACACAGGACTGGTAATAACCTTGTGTGCGTCACTGAAACGCCTGTTTTCCTCCCCTTAGGTTCACGCTGCTGATTCCTGTTCATCTTTTCTGTGATTATAAACACTTTTTCTTTGCTGCAGGTTATTCTAGCCTTAAATATGTCATTAGAAAGTAATGCGATGTCTGATGAGGTTGAATTTGTTTAGCCCAGTCTATTTAGATTTATGCTCTTGCTGTGCTGTAAAGTGCGTGTATTTTGACTCTGGTCCAGTCCCCAGAGTATTCAATTTAAGAGTCCCTCTAGGCAATTTAAGACTTCATTTTGCTGTGTTATTTAATGGCATATCTCATTACAGTTTTATGATGCTGTAAGCAGTATGCTCTCCAGAAAACCACTATTACATGTCCTCCAGCTTAGATATTCTGTTAGGTTAGCATGAATATTACCTCCTAAGGCCCATTAATCAATTAACACTGGAAGGGGGCTGAACATAATTTAATAGTTTGTTTTCTGTATTTACTTAAGGCACAGCCTTTAATTAAAGAAATAATTTATTCCTCCACAGCATCTCCTCGGCGATATGAAAGCTCTGAGCTGCTTCTGATGAGGAGAGAATTGTCTTGTAAAAATCCTTATTTCTTTCAAAGCAGAATGGATTTTGAAGTCCAATATTCATAGCTTATTGCTTTTTTTTTTTAATTTTTTTTTTTTATGCCTGTAACGCATCATTTTAGTTAGCTTACAGCTAAAAGTCATGTTCTCATAACAAATGTATATGTATAGCATTATTGATGGTTTAATCCAGTGAATACTAAATCAAAAAAAGGATCTTTAAAGACGCTGTTGGGGTCTTTAGTGATAGTTTTATCATTACACTGGACCTACAAGCTAGTCAAGAATAGCCTGACTGATTTCCACTCACTCCCCTCTAATTATAAAACTTGGATCCACACACTGAGAAGTTTAGCGCAGCCAGCTACTTGGAGTTTATTAATATTTTAATAGTGCATCACCGCAAGAACAAGAACAGCCTTCTCTCTGGGAACGAATGGCACTTGGCGTTATTATATTTATCATGTACAAATAAATGTTTTGGTTTTTTTATATCTCTGTATAAACGAGGGTCTGGTAGTGGTGGGAGTGTCTTTGTAAGGCAGTTTCTTGTATGTTTCCAAAGTGTGTAAAAACAAGCAAGTGGGAACTTGGGCCATGGTGTCAGATGACACTTTGTTACAACTGTGTAATGGTGCTTTAATATCAGTGTACTGATGCTCAGGGATTTATAGAGATTTAAAAATAAATAACTCCAATAAGAAAAGCAACAACACATGATACTTGATTTTTCTTTTAGTTAAAACCTCACTCGTGTTTTTTATAAACGTGCTTTGTCTGCACTTTGGCTAAACGACGCCTATTTTTTCTTTCTTTTTAAACAAACACTATTTGTTTATTTGTTTTCATTAAAATACCCTTGGAGGTTGCACAGGTCTAAATAACTGTGGAAACAATAAAAGGTTTAGCATTGACTGTGAAAATGCAAATTCAGGAAGAACAAAATCATAATCTAATTGTGACCCAACACATCAACGCCTAATTGGGTTTGTGCTTGATTAGTCCCACCCCTAATATTTCTTAGTGTTTAGGGAATAAGCTTTCCTTTAGAAACTCAGTAACTGGACAACTTGCAGAGAATGTGAAACAACGTAGTACTGGGCAAGAGTCTTGGGGAGATTCACATTACCCTTCAGTTGATACACTTTACTGAAGCCTCATCAGAAATGATCTCATTGGAAGGGTGGCTGTCAAGAAGCCATTCTTAAGTAAGGGAAACAGGAAGAAAAGGCTGAGGTATGCCAAATTAAACAAGAACTAGATTGCAAATCAGAGGGAACAGATCTCATGGAGTTATGAATCCAAATTTTAAGTCTTTGGTTCAAGTTGTCAACAGCCGTCTGTAAAACACGGTGGAGGCTCTGTCAAGGTTTGGGACTCTCTTTCAACCCACTGTGCACTACCATCTGCAAAGCAACATATTGGCAATGGCTTCATTTTTCAGCAGCAAAAACATACTTGCTTAGAAAAACAGTCAGAGGAACACTTTCAGTAATGGATGGGCCTCCTCAGAGCCTGGACCTCCATATTATTAGAGCAGTGTGGGCTCATCTTGACAAAGAACTGAGCAAAAGGGAGCCAAAACCCAGAGAAGAGCTTTGGTGTTTTACAAACCTTTGCTGTATATTCCTTGTATGTTTGCTCTTTTATTTTCATGTAATTCAGATTAAAACACCCTGCTTTTAATGTGTCCTCTGCTGTTTCTCATCTTCTCCCTCCTCTCTCTACAGGTAACAGAGATCCAGGACTGGAGTGCGGCCAGCCCTCACAGCGCTGCCTACGTACTGTGGGACAACGGGGCCAAGAACCTGTACAGAGTTGGCTTTGAGGGAATGGTGAGCAAACTTCTAGTATGAACCTCATGCTCACTAACTCCCTCACACAGACGGATTCACACAAAAGATCAGCTGTCAGTTGGCTTTTGTATCTAACCGTGGAGCTGAGGCTCTTTCTTTTACTGCCAGGCCTTTGTGAGAGACACGCAGCCAGCGTGAGTACGGCACTATTGTCCAGGCAGCTGGAAGGGGGAGGTATCTGCATGATAAAGGCAATCTGTTCCTTCTGCTTTATAAGGGGACACGGTGAACATGGCGGTCAACTTTAGAAAGGGGGGACATTCTCCTGGGGATGTCATGGGCTCAGCTACACACGCGTTCCAGATGAAAAGCGTGTCCTTCATTGGTGCAGACTGCCTCTTCCTTTTTATGAAAGCGGCCAATTGGGTTTCTCAGTTGCATAACAGATTTGTCCTTTGTTATTCTAATAGATTGAAAGGAAGGTAGGTGGCATCTGCCTTTGGATTAAGTAAATCATGGATTAGACCCCCGTATTGACGGTTTTATTTCGGCTTTATTTTATGAAGATCGGATAAATCCTGCAAAGGAATAAAAAAGAATTGCAGCTTACTGTATTTTCCAAACGCAGCGTGAGAGGCCAAAGCGTTTCCTCTGTTGCGATGCCTGCTTCATGTGCACAGTACTATAAGATCAAACACATCCCGCTGGATATGCAGTCTAAGAGACAGTTATTAATTTACTGAGACGTGTTGCAGTCATGACTTTGGCGATCCATCAGTTCAGAGGAGCGTTTGCACTGTCTTATGATGATCTCTGCCCTCTAACTCTGCTACAGTGGCTGCACATCTGAGTCATCACAAATGATATGATGCTTTCTCCGTGTAGCAGTATAGTGTTTCAGTTTCCTGCCATATACCATGTTGCTTAGGGCACTGATATTGTGGGTATTGTAGGCAACTGATGTGCCTCTGCAACTGAAGTGCATAAATTCTCAGTGTCATTATCCATCACTATTCCCCTCTAATGGAATTACCTTGGTTAATTATGTAACCCGTTCCATCTTTTTTTCCCCTTTTAGTCGGACCTCAAATGTGTCCAGGATGCCAAAGGAGGGACATTTTACAGAGACCACTGTCCGGTTTTAGGTAAGCAAGCCGGTGATATGTGTCTGCGTCGTTATTGCACCAATTTGTTCACCTAGCGTGCTGGTGCAGTGAATTCAAGGACATTCGAGGAGTTTTTCTTGTAGTAAAGTCTGTGTGGCCACTAGATGTCAGCACTACATAGTCACATGGCTCCAAAACCAGGTATAGACTCAGGTCATGCAGTTACAGTGTTTAGGTACTCGTGGAATAAATTGTCTTTCTGGGTTTAAAACTGCAACAAATTTTGATGTGTAGTATATACAATCACTCTGCAGTGCTGCCTCTCTTCAGGGCAACTCGTGCAAATCACATTTTTAATAAATCTAACGTTACCTTAATCGTCTCAGGTGAACAGAATGGCAACAGAAATCCTGGTGGCCTTCAGATTGGGGACCTGGTAAACATTGATCTGGATCTCGAGATTGTACAGTCCCTCCAGCATGGACACGGAGGGTGGACTGACGGCATGTTTGAGACGCTCACCACCACCGGCACAGTGTGCGGCATCGATGAGGATCACGACATTGTGGTTCAGTACCCCAGCGGGAACAGGTGCAGCGCTTGACATGGAGGCTCGGAATAATTGATTTACTTATTTTTTAGTATTTGACTACTAAAAAACATATTTCTTAGTTTTAGATAACCCCTTCCACTTAAGGTCATTCAGAAGCAGCAAAACACTTCTCAGCACATCTTCACCGTAGGATGTAATTATGCTTTTTAACACTCGAGAGAAGAGACTCTCAATAAATTAGCAGTCAATTTCTAGTGAAATGCATAATTAAAGTGGATTTTCTGTGAATGTAAAAGCACTTTGTCGCTTCTAGTGTTTATTAAATGTTCTCAACATGCTCTTTGATAGTGATCATAGATATACCTCGATCAAGTTCTTTTGGGAGTCGTTTAATATTGGGCATGTGGACCAGTAATGTAAAAGCGGTCTAAATTTAGCCCCCTTTATTTTTATTACGTTGATGAGCTTAAATTATTCAAATGCTGTGAAGATAATTACTGGGGAGAAGACCTTTCAGACTTCTGCTCTGTTGGAGGTATAGATGCGCTTTCTCTGCTTTCTCTCTCTTTTTTTTTTTTTGCAGTTTAATTACACAGTGAGGCTTATATCACTCTGTAACACGTTTGCCTAACACACGAACAAGAGGAACAGACCCTCAGAGGGGTTGCATCAGGAAGGGCATCCGGTGTAAAATGTGGGCTAAATTCAATATGCAGATACATCCACTGTGACTATCCCTTGTGGGTAAGGGAGTAGCTGAAAGAAGCTTGTTACAGAGTGATACTTCCTTGCTTCACATACCATCTTTGAATGAGTCCTGACTGATTTTAAAAAAGCAAATTCAATAACAGCAATTTTTTTTTTACTATAGTTTTTTTTGCATTCATTAATATTGCCTAGAATTATGTTGTTGAAATAAATTCAAATTAAATAATGTTGTAAATTAAAGGATGTATAAAATGAAAAGTTCCTAGCTAGACAATTCATGCACCATTTTTGTTTCACCAAAGCAAAAGAAAAGAAAAAAGTTTGCCCCCTTTTTTTTTTTTTTTTGTTTGCAAGCTTTGTGTCAGAAATCAAACATCAGTGAAGCCTGAACACTTTATGCTCTCACATTCACGTCTGGGGAGAAATGCTTGCATTAATTCAGAAGAAATGCTCCCATTTTGCCCATTTATTGGTGCCTTATTATTTATTGCTCCAGCGTAGCTTGCTCAAATTCTATATCTCACATCAGCTATCACAGTTTAGGGGAGCTAGTCGGTGCTGCTTGAATGCATCGCTCTCTCTGTCCTCAGATGGACGTTCAACCCAGCAGTGCTGACAAAGGCTAACGTAGTGCGCAGTGGCGAAGTCGCAGCTGGTGCAGAGGGAGGCACTTCCCAGTTCCATGTGGGAGACCTGGTCCAGATCTGCTACGACATTGACCGCATCAAGTTACTACAAAGAGGCCATGGAGAATGGGCTGAGGCGATGCTGCCTGTAAGAGTTTAATAGATTTTCACACTGATTTGTGCAGAGTTGACCGCACTCACGGTCACGTTGAGGCTGTTACATTAATAGAAACAGGAAATAAATGTGGACATGTTTAAATAAATTTTTTATGGTTAAGGATTTGCTGGGGAAAAAAATTAAATTTATTTAATAAATGTGTATAGATAAATAAAATTTTTCTACAAAGAGGGACATGTAATGAAATTATTCATTGTAGCTACATTTGTCTTAGTTACTACAAGACTTTACACGCAGCATTGTGTAAAATCTATGGATGCTTTGCTGCCAGTTCTTTTAAAAAATCTTCTCTCAGTCTTAACATGACTTTATTCTTCCCGTATTATGAAGTTTATTCATCGCTGCCCAGCATGCCGTGGGTTATGTAACGCCAGTCTACTCCAATATGCCACTTGTCCCTGCCAAACTGGCCCCCCTCAGCAGCTAATGAGCCTTAAAACTCTGAGATGGGTTGTAGCTTTGATCACTAACCATGGCTGTTTGCCGCCTGCTGCCGCTTCTGCTGCAGCAGTCCCCGTTATTGATGACATCCTCCAGGACAGCCCCAGACCCGGCTCAACACACTCAAAGTGCCTCTTTCCCTTATAGCCGGGATCGAGATGATATAATTCAAAATTGGAATGCGTTATACTCTGTCCTCTCCAAATTGCCTGTATAGATGAAAAATGGTCTAGCAAGTAGAAGGGTCTTTCTTTTATATCCATCTTCTTTCTTGTGCAAGTGAGTACACTCTGAATAATAAGAACATTGCTCAAACATCTCTCATACCTTGTTTTTTTTTCTGTCAGTGTTTTATTTTATAATAAGCTGCTCTGTGTAGGATGCTGGCTTTTTGAGCTGCTGTACTTTCCACATTATCCTTTCCCTCGCAGCTCTACTTTCCTCACTGCAGTCCCTCTTCATCTGTCCTCTGCCACTTACAGACTGTGTTACACAGGACGTAGCCCAAAGACAATAAGCCTTCATATACTAATGAGTTTGTCACAACATTTCTAAACAGACCCTGGGCAAGGTAGGCCGTGTGCAGCAGATCTACTCTGACAGTGACCTTAAGGTCGAGGTTTGTGGGACATCTTGGACGTACAACCCTGCTGCCGTCACCAAGATCGCCCCTTCCGGCTCCGCTGTCAGCAACGCCTCTGGAGGTATGTGCGAACATGCACCGCTAACTCAGAGAGAGCATCATTTTTAGTTTTTTGTCCTCGTTGCTTCATTGCTCTCTGTTATCTGGCACCTACATGCTATCAATCTCTGATGTTTTCCGCTCGCTTGTCCAGAACGCCTGTCTCAGTTATTGAAGAAACTATTTGAGACACAAGAGTCTGGGGACATCAATGAGGAGCTGGTCAAGGCAGCAGCCAATGGAGACTTGGCCAAAGTGGAGGACATTCTTAAGAGACCTGATGTGGATGTGAGTGCTCCAGCATTTTGATGTTTTGATATAAGGAACTGTTGAAGTTCTAGATGACTTTTTGATGAATGATTCTACCATTAAACCTATGCAGAAGATATAGGTACATTTATAATTGGAGCTGGAATACCCCTGGCTGTGCTCAGCTCTTCTCTCAGTATATTGAGGAGGCTATATTGAGGAGAGTCTCCCAGGAAACCTCTCAAAGATCCTCCCACCCCTGCACCTCTCTCAATCTGAAAGGCATTAAGGCTGGGCCCAAAGGAGGCACCAATGAGCACTGGTGTGCACTGCAGCACAGAGCCTGATTCACTCTCAGAATCAAGTGGAGATCTACAAACCCCACACGGTTGTAGATTTTGTTCTTACTCAGGCAGCAGGACAGAAATCTGTGCCTTCTATAGGTCTAGAAAAAAGATTACGTCAGTCTGCCATGCCGTCTTCACTTTAGAGAAAGGGAGACTGAATGAGTGTGTGTGTGTGTGTCATTGGTGAGTGCTGGCCAGATGCCCCGTTGCCTTTCAGTGGAATTATTTGCTTAAAGCTGAGCACACTGAGGCTGGCCAAGTGATTTGGCTGCCAGGACAAGAGACGTCTCGAGACTCCCAAAGGAGTTCACATTAATATTTATGCTCTGAGTTTTTGCAGTGCTGCAGTTGGTGATGAAACTTGCTCACACAACTGTGGATGCACATGTACAACATCCAAATATTTAAAACACACCCTCACCAGTCTCATCACCATGTGTTTGGCAGCTCTAAACATTAAACAGCACGCTGACACGCGGCCGTATTCTGAGTGACTCTTGATGTGTTTTTCCAGGTGAACGGGCAGTGTGCTGGACACACCGCTATGCAGGCAGCCAGTCAGAACGGTCACGTGGATGTCCTAAAGCTGCTTCTTAAACACAATGTGGACCTGGAGGCTGAGGTTTGTCTAATTAGAAAAAATAACCTGTCTCTGATGTGTGCTTCTTCTTATCGCGAACGCATCTCAGCTTTCTTTTATATTGCATTTCGCACTAGATTTCACACAATACTGAGTCATTATTTGGATGTGTCACTGTTCCCAGGATAAAGATGGAGACCGAGCAGTGCACCACGCAGCTTTTGGTGATGAAGGCTCTGTCATTGAAGTGCTGCACAGGGGCGGTGCAGACCTGAATGCCAGGAACAAACGAAGGCAGACTCCATTACACATAGCTGTCAACAAGGGCCATCTACAGGTGGTTAAAACCCTTTTGGACTTCGGCTGCCACCCTAGCCTTCAGGTATGTATCGCTTGACTTATTTACCTTTAAGAAAATACTTCATGGCATAGCTTAGTTGCTTACTTCCCCCGATTTTGTCATTGTACATGTATAACTGAACTGTGGGTGCTGCTGTGAAAGATATATAAAAAGATATATAAATGACAAAACAAGAGGATAAAAAGCAAACACTGTGTCAAAGCATACAATAAAAAAAAAACACACAATAAGGGAGCAAAGGTATAAATATTAAGTTACAAAGTGGCTCGAGTGTTGTGCGAAAGACTTCAGTAAAGGCGCAGGACGTCCTACAGAAATTTCCACATTGTATACAACAAAACAGCAACAGTGTGGCGTTCACAGATGGCACGCAGAGCTTTCTACCTGTCAAAAAGGGAGTTTTTCCTTCCCGCTGTTGCCAAGTGCTTGATAGGAGTTGTCTGATTGCTGGTGTTTTTTCTGTATTATTTTAGGGTATTTACCTACCATAAAAAGTGCCTTGAGGCGACTATTGTTGTGATGTGGTGCAATATAAATAAATTTGAATAGAATAAGCTGCTTTTGAAGTACATTGTAACACTTGAGGGGTCATTGTAGACCTGACTTGTAATTACGTTATTTAAACAGCAGTCCTTAACATAAGGTTTCCCCTTCAGGATTCAGAGGGTGACACACCTCTTCACGATGCCATTAGTAAGAAGAGAGATGATATGCTGTCAGTGCTGCTGGAGGCGGGTGCTGACGTCACCATCACCAACAACAACGGGTTCAATGCTTTGCATCACGCCGCCCTGAGAGGAAACCCCAGGTGTGTGACATGTTCGGTTTGGCGACTGTGACGAATGAAGGCTTGTTTCAGTGGAATCTGCCGATGCAGATCTCAGTTAATAACGGTTTCATATGCTCAGTGGAACCAAAATTAGAGACATGTGCATAGCTTATGTCCACACACTAAGTTAACCACATTTGATTGATTCATTTGTTGATTCTCAAATTCCAGAGATTAACAGGAAAGTCCCACAGAGAATTGCCTCAGTGAGAACTTTATGAATATGAATAAAGTGATTAAACGCCATATTGAACCCACACTGTGCGATACACCAAATATCTTGAAGTGTCTGTGTGGTGTACAAATCACATTTTAGTTGGTCTCCCTGCCCCAGAAATAGTGATGAGATGGTCTCAGTATATGAGTTGTTTTTTTGTTTATTTATCCTGGTGATTTAACCGTCTTGTTTCTGGCCTGGCCATTTAATAAACAAAAATGTCTGTGAATTTGCTATATGTAGGAAAAACCCTGGATATATTATTCACACTTTCCTGCATGAGATTAAATTTGATGTGTCATCAAACAGGAAGAGAGGATTAATTTCAATCTAATGAACCCACACAATGCACAGAATAATTTAAAACTACAAAAAGTAGGGTTTATATTTTGCTTGTTAGCAGCTAGAAGACAGAGAGCCAGGCAGAATCATTCATTATCCTCCTCTTGATGAAGGATTTGGGCTCACCACCCTACAGGAATATAGTTGTACTTAGTATAGGTCCAATAACTGTTACACTTCTTTAACTGAGTCCTTCTGTTGTCTAGATGAGGACAGTCATGGGTTAATTTAATGTGGTACTGCAGTATCTCAAAGGGAATTACCAATTTCATGCTGAAATTTGCTTCCACTGAATCCGCTGCTTTTTTTTGTTTACGTTGAAAACACTTTAAAAGAAATTAAAAGAAAAGTTATCCTCCTGTAAGCTCTACTTTGGTATCTCAGTTATATTGACTATTTAATTTAAAGAACTGTAGGCGTATCTATCTTTCAAAAGGATGCTGTGGTCTCCTGTGTTGACTGTTATATTGGTACAGCTAAAAACCTGGAGCGTTTGTGTTTGTTTGCACACTGTTTTGCTATTCCACGATTGTGTGTGTCGTGTGTGGAGTGGCTTGCAGTGCAGCGGCAGCACTTCGTCTTGTCCTTGTCGGTGCTGTTCCCGGCCAGCAGGTTGCTTTTCCAGTCTTTATCTGTTTTATTCTGCTCTCTAAGCCATGAGCATATTAAAGATGGCTCTGAGCAATGACTGTCTGTATCAGGTTTATCATCCACCTCTTAAGGTGATGGAAATTGATGTTTCATCGCCACGGTAAAGGGAGTGGAGCAGTTTCTAGAAAAGTTAACATCTGCTTTCCGCTGTGAGTGCTTCAGGTGTGTGTTTCCGCATGAGCGTGGTTATCCCAGGCTAAATGTCATTCCCCTTCGTTGGCATTTATTCCTTTGGCACTAGGACAAATGGAATTAAGGTCACAGGGCTGTGGAACACCTGTCAAAGGTCACAGGCCTGGTCCAGCCCCTCCACATCTGGTACCCTGTAGGTCAGATTATCTAAAGCCAGTGCCTGTTTCTAACATTGATTAATTTCAGATTGAAAAAACCTCCTAAAAATCACTTTATTAATACAGAAAATTGCATTTATCAAGGCTAAAATCTGTCCTTGTTCAAATATATTGGCAAATTTTAAATATTATAAGGATCTTACAGTTTGTGGGGCTATGTTTTATTTTATTTACAAGCCAGCAAATACTCAGAATAATATCAGCTATAACAGCAGACTATGATATATATAATATAGTATATATATATATATATATGATATATATATATAATACTATATATAATATAATATATATTAATATATATATATTGTTATATAGCGATTATAAATATATATATAATATATATATATATTTACAAAGCAAATTGCAGATCCAGTTTTATAAAATATATTATATTAATATTATAATATATAAATTATAAGTTAAATGAAATATGAAGCCAGTGTTGATACACGGCATACTGTTAAATATGTTAAATGAAGTCTGCAGTGTTTCATTTATTTTCTGTTATTGAAATGATACATAACCAGCCTGCCTGCTTCTCTTCAGCAGGTAATTCCAGAGTTGATGATCCCTGAAATTCTGTAATTAAACATGATTACATAGATTCAGGGCTGTCTTTGTTGAATCTATTTCAGAATTGATTGAATAAATTGCAGAAAGAAGTGAAAATGACAGACAGGAAACTGAAAAATTGGCCATATGTTTGCAGTCCGAGTCTGTCTGTGTTATCCGAGAGGGTGAGGGCGGAAAAAATATTGCAAGGCCACCGTTATCTTTTATTGCACAACCTTTAAACTTTAATGAACAACAGTAAACATGCTCAAGGAATAAATGGCACCGTTAAAAAAAAAGATATTTGCATTTTAAATATTTAAATAGAATAGTCTGTCGGGTTTGAGAGTATATGTTAGAGAGCTGACCTGCTGAAAGATTCATTTGAGTACGGTGGTTTCTATATCAAAGGCCCTGTTGTGCTTGCTTTGCTTGTCTCAGTCCACACTCTGTCCCCATGCCGTCAGAAAGACAAAGATATATGTCACCTTCTGCAGTCTGCCCATTTACTTTTATTTCACACTCGGGCTCCTGCAATATCGTGGAGACGGTCTACAAGTCCTAAAGCCCTCGGAAATGTCTCCCTAGGCTGAAGTGGGAGCACCTTGTCTGGCGTGTTTTTAGTGGAGAGGCAGTTGTTTTGACTGAGTGCTTAAAGAAATTCCTGACATACTTCTGCAAAAGGGGGGGAAAATGTAAAAGCCTTGATGGCTGTAGATGAGAGTTGCTTGAAACTGGAAGCCAATCAGAGAGCAGTGAGATGGAGGATATCAAACAAAACCCGTCAGGTTAATAAGTCCGATGACCTGCTTGTGTTTGAGCACAGACTCTTTTGGCATTCGTGGCTCAAACAAGTGTAAAATATAATTTTCTTGTTGCCGTGTAATTCCACGACAGTGCGAAAAACAATTTAAAAACGAGCTTCCTCTCTTCTGTTACGCTAAGTGATGTATGTTCTAAACATCAAATGCTGGCTTTTGGGTTCAAGTAGAGACTGCGTCAGAGTCCCTGGTGTGTTTGTAATGTGTTATGTGCGTGGGTGGGTCTTCCAGCAGTGGAAACAAGATTGAGGAAGACACATAGGAAGAACCCTGTGGGTGACAGATGAATCTTTCAACTTGGAGTCCCAAACACTGAGACAAATCAACTCTACCAACAGGCGAGCAGCAGGAACTGGGGAGTTGTACTATATTTTACCTTGTTCATTACTCACACATAGACACGGCTGCAGCATGTTAAGGCATTTCCTCATAAATTAAAGCTAGTTGTTAAGTTTTACAATTGCTAGTAAATTGAAAGTGCTGGTATAACCAGCAGTAACATGTCCGGGAAGGATTTTCTTGTGTGTTCTCCCTGTGTGTTTACCACAGCTCTAGCCTGCAAGGGGAGCCTGGCTCATCTCTGTGTCTTTCCCCCGGGCTGCTCGAAGCTAGTAGCTGCTACAATACTGTAAACAATACGATTAATAGCCCATGACTCATAAACGGGCTCTAAACAAGCCCTGCAGCGGCCGTCCGTACCCTTTTACGTGTCACCTCCTTGTAATATTTGCCCTCCTCCCTCTCCCCTTATAGTTCTCAGCTTTCTTTTAATACGGCAACATACAGGCAAAACCCCGTATGGTAATTGGCTCACCTGAGGAGATGGAGGGTTGTGCAGGAGATCACACTGTGCTCTGAAATGCAGACATTTATTCCCTTTGTAATGTTGGCACTAATAGGCACCACCATAATGGTAGTATTGTAATAGGGATCCCACTTAGAAAGGAGTGGAGACATGGGTCAAATGTTTGCATTAAAACGTTTGCATGTTCAGATTTTCTTTATCGCTGACATCGATGAAACAGGAGGTTTGTTCACTCTTGCTTCTTTCAGCCTAATCGAGTTGGACTGCTTTGATTGAGAAAACTAGTGCGTGTTATGGTGCACAAATGCATTTCATGGTCATTAGTCCAATGAAAAAGAATTTATAACCAAGTTTGTTAAATCAAATTGAGATTTAATCAATGTCTGTATGCTATACCCACATCCTCTTAATTGCTTTAAATAATTAGACAAATTACATCTTTTAGATCAGTTGTGGAAAAAAATGATTTAGCACTGATTTTTATATTTATGTTTTATATTTTCTCTCCCTCTCTCTCTTTTTTTTTTTTTCCTTTTTTTTTTAAAAAGGGCATCTAAGGCATTTCTTACATGCACTGCAGTCCTGGACTTTTCCAGGACTTTCCCGCCGATAGAGACGTGTGTTTGAATGCAAAGATCTGAGGCACAAAGGGATTAATCAGTTAGGTCCAGTTAGGTCCATTAACATGCTAGGTCCAGAGAATAGCGCAAATACCTATTCACTCAGGTGAATTCACAGCTAGCGAGGGGTTGTCCCGTATCCTCAAGCTCAACGCGAGGCACCATCCTCACCTAAACAAAACACACTAAATTTCCAGAAGAAAGAACGAATGCTCACTGGAACGATCTCTTGCTGTGTGGTACATGTGAAAAACGATAACTTCTGACAATGTCCTGACCAGATGCCCTTGACATTTTCTGGAGTTCATGTGTGCGGGCAGGAGACGTCCTGTGACAGGGAGTTAGGTTTGCGCTTCCTGCTTGTTCTGCACCCACAGCGAGTGAATGTGGAAGCCTGTAGCTGTTTGCTCCTGTGATTTGTGCGTGAAGCTTCTGTCCTCCGAAGCATCTGGCTCTCATCTACCCCAGCTAGTCTAACATCAGGCTTAATGAAAAGGAGTCCAAAGAGTCTGAGTGTGCTTGTGTGTAATGTACATTGTCTAAACGGCTATATTTTGCTCCTTCTTGGGTTTCTTGCAGTCTTGCTGTTGTATTTCTTATTCACAATCTCTTTTGCAG